GAGCAGGAAAAAACCTCTTTATAATGAAAATTTTTGATGACCACAATGATAAGGAAAGAGCTTTCTATTCATAAACTTATCTGCTGACAGTATGACCCACAATCATGTATTTTGGACAAAAAGGGAAAGAAATCTAAGTTATCMGTCAGGATTTCATAGGACAAGAACCTGTATTACACAGGTGCATGTTTGTTGTAAGTTTGGCAAAGAGGTTTGCTGAAGYTTCTGTTGAAGTAGAAACACCAAATCAAGTCAGAACAGAAACACACTGGTGTGATGCTTCCAAAGCCGAATTTTTCAATAACATGGCCAAGCAATCCTTTCAGAAAAAAATAACAGATCACTTTCAGAAGTTCCACCACAATGTTCTTCAATGTTTTCTAARCACCTTTAGCTTCTCAGTTTGAGTCAGCACATAAGCATGCTACTGAATCTTGTCATGACCAATCTCTATCCCTTATGACAAGAATCCTTGCCCCTAAGGCAAACGGTTGATCCGCTAGAACTGACCTTCTGAAAGGCAACCCTGAGCCTACAAGTTTGAATGCAAGGGGGCAGAAATCCTAGCCTTCTGACTGTTCAGCAGTCTGTTTCAATGGAAAAGTTTGAYACTGACAGTCTCACAGTTCTGCTGCGCCCCTATCACCCAGCTCTGTCTGCTGGAGTTCTATGAACACCTCTAACTTGCTTACTCTCCTCTTGACCAAGTGTGCGAAGCTCATCAGGCATATCAGTGTGACAGAAGTGGATGGGGAAAAAAGAAGCAAAACTGGGAAATGCTTTTTTTGGGGAGGAAAGACTTCCCTTCACAGTCCGCTTTCTGACAGCTAACATACTGGTATCCCAGCATGACTAGCTTTAAATTAATGCTATGTATTAGCTTGCTCTTATTCTGATTTATTTCAACGAAGGTTTTTTTTTTTAATGACATACCCACTACTGTTAACTAAGTAATTCCTAAATTATTAAAATAACCCTTAGAGTGTTCCAACAGCTTTACTACAGATGTAATTTTTTTCCCATTTAAAACAAAACAAATGCATTCAAAGTCCTTTGGATTCAACACTACACTAGTACCCAACTGTTCTATTGTGAGCTTGAGCTGTAATCTTTGCACTGCTAGCAACTTTCATGCACGTGTGCTCTCAGCATGCTCTCTGTGAAAGGAAAACTGCATCCAAAAATTTTAAGGAATTCATATCTTTTTGCCCTATAAACCTCATCTCTGCTTCACTGATTAAAAAATACTACCCAGAACAGCTAACAGAACTGCATTATTTTCTGATGATGATTAGAATCATAACACATTTTCTGAAGTACCTGGATTCTATAATCTACTGCCTAAGTTCTCTGAGCACCGGCAGTCACATTTATCTGTTTTACCTAGTTCAGTTCTGATCTATTAAGGACCTTAAGCCACAACAAAAATACATAAATATTTAAATGCAATGCATTCTGCAAATTCATCTGACCAAATGAAACTCTGGTAACAACAGCAATTAGGTTCTCAAACATACTCAAATTATCTAAAATATAAAAAAATTCCCTATTTTTCTCATTTGGACTCCAGTCTTAAAACGGAATTTTTTTTTTTTGTATTTTACCTCTGCTGTCAAAATAAATGTAACAGCAATGCTCAGCAAACAAGTATAAAGTACTGGAAGAAACTTACAACAGTCTCACATGTATAACTTTTTCTAACCAACATATGAATTGAGTAATAAACTTAAAATTGCAAAACTCAGCTGAAGAAGATGCAACAATACCAGCAGCACGGTTAATAACGGACTGCTAAAGACTAGCAAGTGTTACAAGTAAGAAAACCACAGGGATCAGAAAAGGAAAAGAAGGACCAGAGTCTCAAACCCACCCATCATTGCACCGGCCAGCTTGCTGTGTTCTCATAAAAATTTTAGAKTACTGCTGCAGTAGAAACAGAAGTGCTGCCTGATGGGACTTGGAAGAAAGGTTTGAGAAGCAATATCCTACAGACAGACACACTGTTAAGATATGGACAACGCAACATTTCATTCTGAATTAGAAAACAGGAAAATGTGATGTGCCCTACAGATAAAGCAGCCAAAAAGTAGGAAAAGCAACCCCACACTTTACCTGCATAAAGCACTCACAGTGAGCACAAACAGAAGCAGCAGATTCTGACTGGAACATTCAAACCAAAGGGTAGAGGTCAAACAGTTCCCCAGGAACTCTCCACTACTGCCAGCCATTGAGGGCAGGACTACTGCTAACAGCTGAGCTATAGTTCAGCCAGGGATTTTATTCAATCTCCTTGTGGGACTACAACATACCCCTGCAGCAAAAGAGATTGAGCTGAAAAAAGCACTGTTGTTGGGTTTTGTGTTTTTTTTTGTTGTTCTGCTGTTCAAAACTATTACTGTATTAATACACACTGAAATCAGAGTTATTAAAACAGTGGTACATATATGCTGGCATAAGGCAGCCAGCAATACATTCACAAGAAGCAAGAATTCATTTAAGGAAGGACTACTGCACAAATTATTCAGTCATTTGGACCAACTGATTTTTATAGGCAAAAAATACAGCTTTACCTCCTTTTCAAAAGAGAGGGATGGCACAGTCAGTGAGCAGGAAAAAAAAGATCAAAGGCTATTTGCTTTATTAGTGTAAACATAAACTTCTCAAACTATTTTTCAGTTCTGCAATAACACCTTTAAAAGATTGTCTGAACCAAGTGTCTCAGGACAATTACTGTATTTTAAATTTGTACAACAGCTACAAAAGAAACCCCTTTCTAACCTCTAGTACTGCAGGCTCACAGTCACCTCTGAGAAAATGAGTAACAGAAGTAAGTAATCCAAAACACTGCCTCTTCCCTTCTTTTAAATTTAAATATGTAAAATACTACAGAAAATTTGAAAAGACAGTCCAACATTTCCCCCAAAAAGAAAAAGCAAAGTCAACTGAATGTGCTCTTTGATGATCTTTTATCACAACATAACCTGCACTGGATTCTATTTCTGTACAAGAGGTAAAGCAAGATGTAAAAGCTCACATTTTCTTGAGTAAGAATTCCAAGTCCAGCATGCACCTATTCTAATTCTTCAATTACTAACTAACTTTCTGTAATCCACTCTTCTGAAGCTCAGGAAGTACAATATTTGCTTACAATGAAACACCATGAAACAGATCAATGAGGCATGATTATTACAGAAAATCTATCCACTTAATCCATATGAAACAAAAAAACACCTATCTAAGAATACAGAAATTAATTGAATTATTTAATATGAAACCACACATGGTAATACAGATTCTAAAGTAAGATTTGAAGTGTCAAGACTGCCCTGTGTGGTTGTTYTCACTATTATACCCTGCTGTATGTTCTCAAACATACCTAGAAGTTAATATTATATGTAAGAAATATCAGAACTCTCTGCCAATATTTGTAGCAGTTGTCACAACAGCTTCTTCTACTGCTGTAAGCGTATGCTGCTCAATTAATAAAGATGTGCAGCAAAACAGTGAAAGAATAACCAGCATGGAATCTGATCACACATCAAACAGGAATCAAGAATATGCCAGAATTGAATAAGATTAAGAGGATTTTAAGTGCATTTTAAATACAGAAATGGAAATAAGGTAGATACATTAAAGGAAAGAACACCTGACATGGATGTTTTGCACTGTAATGTTTACAAGTACATCAAACTGCCATCAGAAAATAGACTTAACTGAAGCAGGTAACTTTCATTTGGTGCAAGAACCATTCATGAACTAGCACACCTTACTTTGTGGTTTACTACGCTGAATAGGAAAAGGCTTGCTGAAAATAACCTGTTCCCCTGTAGTTTAGACAGTATTCATGACCCAGGTTATGCAAAAATTGCACAAAGTGCCAAGAAAAAAAACACTAAAAATTTTCTTTACATGCACAGTTCCCTTACACTGGAGTATTTGTCAATGTATGCTATTGTTTGAATATTTTGGGTGGKCAGGTGTATTTAAGTCTGTGTAAAAGCTGCAACTCTTAAAAATAGAAGACTTGAAAACAAACACAAGAGTACAAGACTAGCACCAGACCAGAGTCTGTTTAAGTCTTTTTAAAACTACACTAGACCAACTTGCAAGTATGAACAGGGCAATAAGCCATCTTCCAAAAAAGATTCAATTACATACTAATTATACAATATTTTAAATTAAAATGCAATATGACTAACAAAAATTACTTCCCCCCCAAAGCCCTCAAAACAGTTTTCTTACACAATATCACTCTAAAACTGGACTACACCAAAGTAACACACTAACACTAATGGCACACATCTCATTCTCACCATCTTCTTGAGCTCTTCTTCCCTAACACTGAAGTAAATCTAACTAATATTCAGACTTTTGAAAGGTCACAAACAAGGCAGAGTAAAATCCTGATCCTCGCTTGACTCAAACTGTATCTAACAGGTACCATCACCCAGCAAAAACACAAACCATCAGCAGACTTAGAACTGAAGATAAAATATTTTTCATGATACAGAACAAAACAGATTAGCTCTGACAAACATGTAGAAAACCCTCTCTTTCTGTAAGAATTGTGCCTGTGTTGATTGAAAAGTTTGACACTGGCATTCCAAACAGTAACAGCAGTTCACAAAACATAATGGTCCAAAATGACTTTCAAATTGTGTAACTACATAACAACTCAAATAAATGGCAAAGATCCAAAACAAGAGGAGACAAAAATGAAAATATGTTCTACTAAAATACATCTTTCAAATTACCATTTGAAATGTTAATCTGCAGAATAAGYCAGTAAATAGCAAATGTTACAGTGTCAATTCGAAGTTGTATAAGATATAGCTAATGTGGTTTAGGGGAAAACAAACACATCAAAACAGTAATCAGGTTCTAAGCACATAACATCAAACAGGAAAAGTATCTTTAAATTCTAGCACTAACTTACTTCAAACAAGCAATGTAATGCAATGCATCATCTTGAATACTAGAGGGAATTTCATTAGACATACCTTTTCTCTCTGTTTTCTGTGCAGGGATGGAAGATGTGGATGTAGACAGTTTTGATAAAGTAGATGCTCCATTAGCATCAAAGGATTTCTTTGGCTGGTGATCAGATTGTAGAGAAAATGGACTAGGAGGAACAGTGCTTGGAGTAGCAGTTGGATGAACCACTGGTTTGATGGGATGCTGTACTGGAGTAGAACTACTGTGAGTCTCTGCTCTTGGCAGTCTGTAGTCTCTGTCATTGTGCCTGCTTGTTTGAGATAAAATATTCTGTGGGAGCATACTGCTGGTGTCACTGGAATGCTTGTCTTCCACTTTTTTCAGGATTCCCCAAGTAACGTTGCAATAAGAAAAAAAATATTAAATCAGAAACAAGGCTATGATTGCAGACTTTAATTAATACAGCTGCACACCAACAACTAGAGCTGATTGAACTTCTTATGATTAAAAAAGCCTCAAGCACAGCAGCACCAAAAATGTAAGATTTAATTCTACTCACTGACAAAATGCATTTTCTCTGACCTTTGCTTGATTTAGAGTTCCGGTTAAGCACTGTGTTTTGATGAAAGGCTGCTACATAACAAATGTCAAGTTAACTTTTGAAGTYTACTAAAAAAATCTAACTCAAAATCTATTATTTCCATCTTGTATTTAGTCTAAAGAGATAATTTGTGCCATTCTTCTTTTGATCATCAAAAACCCTGAACATCAAGAATAATTCAATAGTTTCAAATTCTAGCCTTCAAAGTATTCCTTCTCATGTCACTTGAGTACTACTACAACAAATTTACTTACAGTTAATTCAAGGTATATATATATATGTATATAAAAAAAAATGAGTGACTAATCTGCACTGGTCACACAATCACAGACTTTCCAATACACTACTCAGTGAAAATACCAAGCAAATACAGAGTAATTATTTTTAAAGATTCTTACACTTTCATTGTCACAAAAAAATACTCCATTATGCATGTCTGCTATTTTTTGTAGCATCCAGTATATTTTAGCATATGCAGTTTCAATATACAGAGAAAAACAGCCCTTCATCTCTACCTTGTCAAGTCTCGAGAGTGTGGGTGAAGATTAATACTTTAGCTTCTACTTTTAAACTATCCAAAAAACTAGGCTACAAACTTAGTCAAATAACATTAGCATACAAACAGAATCTCACAGTACAATTAACATAGATTAAAGCTAGGAAACAAGACAAAAATCTCTAAGCTACAGAAATTTATAGTCCAGGAAAGATTTTGCTAMGAGTATTGGTATGGTAAAAACATGCTCTCAATAGCATACACAAGCCTCTGAAAACCCTGATACCAAAATGCATTAAATTAGGTTACTATTTTTAGAKGTGAAATCTTTATTTTCAATAAAAAAATGTCAGAAAATGACATTACCAAGTCTCAATGATCACGAACAGTCCAACTAAACTACAGATTATGCAAGCTGTTAAAGTAACTAGCCATGAAGATAATTAAATCTGGCAGTAAAAGCCACAAAAAGGAAGGAGCACCATGAAAAGCATTAAGCAAGTGTTGCACTAGTAAAGTTATTTAAAGAAACAACATTTGGGAGAGTTAACTGTGCTATCCACTTTGGCTTTTATATATAAAAAGGTGAGAAACACAGCTACAGAAAGGGATTTTTACATTTTTTGAAGTCTGGAAAAGAAAACAGTAATGCAAACAAGGCAAGAATATATTGCCAAAAAAAAAGCACATACTTCCACTGGCAAACCCACTGGCAGCTGTCGCCTGCATCACCTCTCTTCTGTAATCCCTATCTTTTGGAAAACTGTTAACTGACATTTTGCTTGCTTCTTTTTGCCTCTGCTCTCTGAAGAAAAGAAAAAAAGTTAGGTAAGAACTTACATTATCTAATAATATAATAGTTTCTGTAAGTTACGTGAGATGAATGAAACTGTTAAAAGCTTKCTGCTACAGGTAGGCTTAGCAAACTCCAGCCACTGCCTCCTTACATCTGTGCTGGTTGAAGGCCACAGTATAGCAGTTCAGCTCACTAATCTTGTCAAAAAAAATCCCCAAAACRCYCCAAACAAAACAAAAAGCAACATTCACATGCATACCCTMCCCCAAAAAATCAAAAATCAAAACAAGCCAACCCCAAACAAACCAATCATACTTCCCTCTCAGGCTCTGAACTGTCRAGGCATAAAACAGGTGCCAGAGGTCATGGTAAGGGCAGGAACACAGCAGACTTATACCACAATCTTTTATAGCAGTAATCTATTCGATAAGCTCAACTGCTTTTAAATGTGCTTAAGAATATTTGTTCTTTACACAATTAAAACAAACAGAAACATATACCTTTCCAGCCACTCTTTTGGTTTTTCCCATTGKGAAACTTCTGTTCGGCAGTTGTAATAGTATTTTTTGCCTGAAGAGCTGATGTGCTCAGACCAATCATCCGCAGAATCATAAGCCTTTAAAATACAAACAACGTTGGACAAAAGACTACTTGAGAGTTTTAATATACAAATTTACCAGCTTTTACCATTTTTAAAACTACATGGCATCCCTGTATGTACCCGTATCACTGCTTCCTACCATCTCTAAATGTCAATTTCATTAATAGCTTGAAGATGTGACCACTATGCTTCTGTTGCATTGTGCAATAGTTTCCTCTGGTTTATTCCCATCAACTCCTTTAACAAAATTTGACAGTTTTTAGTGGGATACAGTAATGTCAATACTGMYAACATTGGTTTGCTTCACCTTACAACATCCTCAAAATTATTTTCAAATGTTTTCTACACATCATAAATGTACCCATTTTGTTTTAGGGCAATTTTTAACAAACACGATTCTGACTACTAAAACTTTGACACTAAAGTGACCAAAATTCACAAAGTAAGTAAAATCATACTGTCTGCTCCAGATCTATCAAAAGTTCATGGAAAATATTTCTGCATCTATGTCACTTAAATAATCTAATATTATTTAAATTAATGACAAGTAACTCAAAGCTCTAATGATTACCAGTTAGGATAGTTTTACAACATATAGCAACTGCATCTTGGGTTTACAGAGTGTTTATAAAATAAAGACTGAGATTGGAAAACTCAAGCACATAATGTAAATTATGCCTGTCTTAGACAAAATTATGAAAATATGGAAGGTATGAATGGGCAACACACAGATGAAAACCAATTACAAATACTTACTGCATCAGAAGTTTTGCTTGGATTATTGCTGGGATTAGAAGAATGTGAATTTGAACTATGAAGAGCACTGTGGTTGTGTGAATTTTCTTGTGGAGAGTAACTGGTCCCTGAAAGAAAATAGCAAGACTGTTTACAATGCATGCTTTCAAAGAAATCAACCATCTGCATTCTAAGGAGATGGAAACAAAAAGAAGAGGGAAGGAGAAAAGGCAAGYTGTCCAAAGTCTGGACCTCAGCATAGTTCAGATGCAGAAGTATTTCAAGAGATCATACATATACATTTTTTTCACACAACATAGAATTCACTYTGATTTTCTAGTTATAGTAATGCAGTATGTCCTTTCACTGACCTAACTCTCAAACTTTATTCCATTACTAAAAAATAKCCTTTATAATTCTGATGCTTTGGAGAGTCCTAACATGCCAATTCAGAAATGAACAGGCATTTTCTCCTCAACATTAGATCAGAAAATTAAACAGGCTATCAAAAGCTTACACAGATGTATAAAATCAGGTTTTAAGCTCAATGAAGTAATGCCATTTCCTTAAAACTGCTGTTTCCTTTTGAGACTACTTGTAATTAGTTCTAGGTAACTAAGTCTGTTTATGCACAGATCAGACTATATTTTCCTGCACCTCAGTCTCTGCAATAAAGGTACGGACATCTAGAATACTAAAGGCAGCATTTCCCAAACCACCACCTGCTTCTGGCCTCTCCACCAATTACACCTCAAGGCAACTTAGTTTTCCTCAATGTAAAAACACTTGAACAGCTGAAATGAGACAGGAGATCTTTCTCAACTCCTTTCAGATCTGAATTTGTGCCTAAGCTCAAATCACCTGAACAGTTCCATTTACAATTAAACAAGGACATCCATTCAATTCTGCAATCTTCTTTTACATTTCCTGCTCTTAAGGCCTCTCATTTCTCTAAAATTTCTAAGCAAGTAAAGGCTCTTCTAATGTCCTTTATGTCATATTTTCTCTAAGTTTTTAATGTTCACAAAAATCACACCAAACTAGGAAAAAATCGTTTCCTTACATATTTCAGGGAAAAGGATATTCCAAATAKAACACTATCCCAGTCTTTATTTTYCCTTTCCATACTGARAAATTTCTAAATAACACTGTACCRGTCTTCATTTTCCCTTYCCATACTGAGAAATTTCTAAATACCCAGGGGTGCTACATCAACTACCACCACCTTCACAAGCTGTATAGCCATCTAAATACGAAGTCAAAGTGATTTGAAAATGGCAAAGACTTTATCTTATGGTCAATTACACTAAAGAACAGTAAAGGACTGATAGGTGGGAGTGAATGGAGTCATAAAAAAAAAATTGTTCTACAGTCTTCTGAGAGCTRCATATACAGAACATGACTAAATGATATAGTAGGTGCAGAATGAGAGCTACCATAATGCAAATTCTGTCTTTTGAGCCTTCTAACTACAGAAGCACTGAAAAAATGACTATTTCAAACTTTTTTCTCCCCACCTTTAACCCTGCAGGTTAGAAAAACAGTCCATGACAAAAGCAAAGATGTATACCATCACCAAACTGTTTAGTACCCTACAAAGGCGAAAGGTCAATTTGCACACACGAGTCACTRCAACCTGAAACAGCACTCTCTCAAAACCTTTCCCTACACTATTTTGGCTAAAACTGTATGYTATTCTTCAGAAAGATATAAGGGGAAAAAAAAATAAGGAAAACAGAGGAGTGTCATACTCAAATACAGTCTTTCAAAAGCTAGACCATAGTCCTACACCCAAAGTATCTTGCATGCTCAGAGTCAGGCAGAATGACTTAGCATGGGGGCAARTTAGGTTTGTCAAAGCAATACTTAAAACCATTGCATACTTGTGATGCACACCCCTAACAACAACAAAAAAAAACATTTAATGACACATTGGACTCCCCTAGATACAAGTACTGTATTGTAATACAAGGCTGTAGTTCTCAGTTATACCAAAAGTCTCAATTTTTTTAGACACTGATTATGGAGTGAAATAGGTGTTTAATATTTTTGTATTAGTCATTATGATTTCATTCTACYGAGATAAAAATCATTAAAATTTCTTAATATATTTTTGTAGGTTGTTCAACAGACATATTGTAATTACTTTCTGCTATGAGGTAAAATCATCTCCTTTTTTTGAGGAAAAAGCAAGATGAAAATTTATCAGATGGCYTTGTTTGAATAGTCCCTTCAAAACATCAGACACCACCAATGCATTTAATTTACTGTAATCCTGTACCATGGATGCAGTAACGCTGTATTTTGTTCAGCATACTCAACATGCACATAGTGATTTTTAAATACTGGAGTGGTCTAAATACACCACCACAGTGAATGTAATCTAACAGGCATTTTCCAAACATGAGAAAGAGCCAACTACCTACCCATTACAGGAATAAAATATTTTAAAGCCAATTCTACCCAGCACATAAACAAATCCCCCAAAATTCACCGTGCAGACTTTCAAACTCCACATGGTCTATCAGCTCAGCAGCATGCCCCCATTCACACTGTGCCCAGCCCAAGTACTGAGTCACCAAGCGCTCTGGAGGAGTATCGGAGCAGCTGCAGCAAGTCACACCCACCTACAGCTGGCCCCGATAGGAGAAACACCTACTAGGCAGCASTTTCTTCGGCAGGGGCCCCAGGGCCTCTCAGCACGGAGCTGCAATCCTCCCGACTGCCCTCCCACAKGCTCCATCCATCAGGAGTCCTGTCCTACCTGAGCTGGCCTCAGCTGCATAAAAACTGATCACGGCTGCTCCAACAATGCCGACTGCCTCGGGACACCAGGACAAGCGACACAGGCACTTACAGGCCCAGCCATAAATACCTACCAATGGTGCCGGARACAGTTACACAGGGTAATTACAGGTGCAGGTTCACCACCCATAGCTCCATTCTATTTTACACATAATACCACTCACTTTATGTTTAGATCTGTACCCAAACGTCAGGAATRAGCACACAAAAGGACTGCTGAACTGATGTCTGCTGCTGGAAAGCTTCCAAGACCAAAGCAGATGAAACTCTGGAGAACAACAGTTTTGGGCATTTCATRCGAGTTAAGGGCTTAAAGACTGCATGAAAACATGACAACCACCTTACCAAATTACACTCTTATACTGAGGCAGCAAGGTTTTAGTATGTGGTTAAATACATGCACAGCAGTCATCTAGAAATCTGACAACCAGCCAAGTGCCAGCTCAGGTTGTCTGGGAAAGTTAGGATGTTTAAAAGGCCAGAAAAAGCAGAGGTCTACCGGAAAAACAAGGTGGGTTCTTCTCACTTGAATATTAGGCTTCACCACTAGCAAAGCCCAACCCTGAGCCATTTTAAGGTGGCTGTGGTATGCAATCAGATCTCCATCTCCCAGCAGCATGCCTGGCAAAGCAGATCATGAGAACAGGACCACTAAGACTAGCCCATACCCCAGAAACAGGCCTAATAAGGTAGACAGCATTCTGCTGTCCCTTGAGACAGTTCCTTATGCACTTCTCACTTTTTCCTCTTACAGTTAAACCTTCCTTACTKGTTCCACTTTCTTCAGCAAAGAGGAACAAAGACTTGCTTTTACACTTCTTATTAGCACATTYGCAGATTTAGCAATTGTTAATATATACCTTTGACACAACACAGAGAAATTGATATTGTGACAAATATTCCAACTCAGTTTCAGAACTCCCCAATGGAAATGTTCACTGCACAATCACAGTGAGTTTTCTCAGCTAAATCATTATTTTGAAAGCAGTTAAAGCTGGAGCTACTCCTAACTGGAAGATGGCCAACAAGGGCATCAGCACTACAGTTATATAAAACTCTAGTGATGCAACCCTGTGAGCAAGTCTTCCCCAGTGATGAACAAGTCATAGGGCAGGTCAGAGTCAAGGTTAAAATACCACAACTAGCTCCAAATCTTTCCAACAAAAATCACACCTTCCTTCCTAATGCATGAAAATCACCACAAAGCACAAAGAGCAAGGACCTGGGAACCAATTCRGAATTACTTCATGCCTACTACAGATTTGAAAATCTGTCACACTAGGACTCATTTTAACATTTTTGTAAGTTGTTTCCACATCCTAACTGCTGAATGCAAGACACTTTGAACTGCAACAAGGGCTCAACACTATGCTGGACTTGAAAAACAGATTTAACATAGAATGAAATAAGAATACTCCATTTTGTAATACCGTCAACTTTATCTAGCAATTATCGTATTCAATTAGCATCTCCATTAACACTTCACTTCTGAAATTATAAAAAGTTCAAATTCTGAGTTAGCTAAGGATCAGACKGCTCTGATAAAGCACTCGGTTTCCCTACTGTCTTTCAAGACCAAGCTGAAACTCTTTCCTCTCCAAAACCTATACACCTATATAGCAACTATAGCATGTACCTGCCACCACCTAAAATAAATTTACTTGCCAGTTGATTAGAATAATCRAATACATGATTGTGCATTCCCCACCATCCTCTGGCATCCAAGTATCTTGGCCTAATTTATTCTTTTGGTTCATAACATTGTACAGTATCATAATCATAAAAGTTCCAACTGAAATGCACAACTTGGAACAGAGACATTACAGTTGCAGTATATATACTGTTGCAACATACAGTTAACTTTACATAGTTCACCACTGATAGAGCATTTATGCTTTCTTTTCAGCCCGAAAAATACCTTGTTAATATCCTAACTAATACCTTATTAATAGCCTCATTTAGTCTATAATAAAAAGTGTCAGTGGRGATATAAAATAAAGCAAGTTTATAAATGCTCACCAGCTGGAACTCAAGGACAGTCTGCTCCTTCAGTCCCGCCAGAGGGAACTGGGATTCAGAAAGAGCTCTAGGAGAGTCACCATTTCTGTGCCCACATGCTAGGCATGTGGAAATCAASACTGGGCAGCAGAAAAGTACGGAAGGTCATCACATTTGTGACAACTCTGTACATACTGCTCTATGACTCCATGTTCCACCTCTCAGCTAACATGCAATCAAATTCATTAAACTAGAGATAGTATCAGAACCTGAACTTCCTCAAAAGAACAAATACTATCCAAGTGATTGACACTAATTAGTTGTT